ATGTAAGACTGCCCACTTTCTTGAAGCCATCATCGCCCCAACGACCTTCTACATTCGCCTCCACCTCAAAGGATCACCTTTCCCTCTGCGTGTCTCATCTGCAACTTCCTTGCGCGTATGCCTCTATCTATGACCCTGCACGTTTGCGCCTACGCCCGTGTGTATGTGAACAAATGTGTATGGTTCCTGTGTTCCCACGGAGCCCTGGGTAGCTAGCCTCGGCGAACTTCAAACTACGGCATTACAAGTCACCGGCTCCATTTCTCTATTCCTATACGTAAATCTCACCCCCGCTTCCTTGACTCTCTCTCTCTCTCCCCACACTCTCTCTCTCTCTCTCTCTCCCCCCCCTCTCTCTCTCTCTTCTTTTACGGATTTATCTGATGTGTCTTTGGTTGCTTTTTTTTATTATATTTTTGTTACATCAGTCAACACTTTCCTTCTTTCTTTTTTTCTTTCTTCGATTTACTTTTTCTTTTTCGTCATATTGTTCTCTACCTTTTTCTCTCTCCTCATTCTCAAATTCTTTCGTTGTTTTTCGTTTGTGTGTTTATCCCATGTTTCAGTTTCTCGTTCATTCTTTCTTTCTTTCTTTCTTTCTTTCTTTCTTTCTTTCTTTCTTTCTTTCATCCATTCATTCGTTCATTCTTCGATTCATTTTTTCTTTTTCGTCATGCTGTTCTCTACCTTTTTCTCTCTCCTCATTCTCAAATTCTTTCGTTGTTTTTCGTTTGTGCGTTCGTCCCGTGTTTCAGTTTCTCGTTATTTCTTTCTTTCTTTCTTTCTTTCTTTCTTTCTTTCTTTCTTTCTTATTCATTTATTCTTCGACTTCCGCTTTACTTTTCACTATTTTATTTTATTTTCTTTCTCTGGCACATTCGTTGTTTTTTTCATCTGACCCCATTCTCGTTTCAAGTTCTCTCTTTCTTTCTTTCTTTCTTTCTTTCTTTCTTTCTTTCTTTAACATTTGTCTCACTCTTTCCTTCTCGCTATGTTGTTCTGTTTTTTCTTTTTTCCTTCGTTGTTATTTTTATTTTTAATTATATTTTCCGTTTTCCATTCCTTCCCTTGACGTCGTCCTTTTACCAATGTCGGCTTCTATATTATGAAATATTTTCACTCAACAACCCCAACTTATCTCCCTCTTCCGATGGAGATTTCTTCTTAGGTTTATTCTCTCTTTCAATATTTTACCTATATACCCGTTCAGTTACCATCCCTCTTTATCCTCACTCCTCCTTTTCACAGTCTCTCTCTTCTTCTCTTATTATCCCTCTTCTCCTTATCTCTTATTTTCTACTTCTTTTTTTTATCCCTTCTTTCTTTTTTTCTATTTCCTTTTCCTCCTCTCTCCATCTGTCTCCTCTTTTCTCCTCCTCTTCCATTCACTCTTTATTTACCGCTTCTCATTCTCTCTTCGCTTTCTCTTTACTATTCTTCTCTGTCGCATCTTCTCTTCCAGTCTCTCTTCTCTCTTTCTTTCTCGTCTTTCTTTTCTTCCCTTCTCGTTCTCGCCATTTTCCTCTGTTTCCACCGCTCTTTCACTTTCTTTTTTTTTTTCACTTTCTCCTCTTTTCTCTTGATTTCTCGTCTCTACATTGTGTTCTCATTCTCCTATTCTTTCTTTCTTGCTGTTTCTCCTTCTCCCTCTTTGAATCTTACTATGTTTTTCTCCCACTAAATTTTCAACTTTCTCTTTTTTTCTCATCCTACCATTTTCTATTTTTCTCGCTTTAATTCTCTGACTTCTTCATCGTTATTAATACTTTCTTTCTTTCTTTCTTTCTTTCTTTTGTTTTCACCTTTTTCTTTGTTTGTCTTTCTTGCTTTCATTTACTTTCTTCTGATTTCCATTTTTTTCGTTCTTTCTTCATTTAATTCGTTTTTTCTTTCATATCTTTCTTTCTTCTCTTTCCAACTTTTTCGCTTTTTTATATCACTTTTTTGTTTACATGTTTATTTTCATTCTTTCTTTCTTTCTTTGATTTTTTCTTTCATTACTCTTTCTTTATTCAACTTTTCATTCATTCTTTTTTCTCTTGTTTGCCTATTCATTTTATTTATTTATTTCTTCTCTTTTCAACTTTTTCTTTTTATATCTCTTTTGCTTCTGATACTTTCTTTGATTTATTCTTTCTTTTACCGTTTTCCATTTTTTCATTCATTCTTTCTTTCTTTTTTCCGTTTTCCATTTTTTTCATTCATTCATTCCTTCTTTTTCGGGTTTCCATTTTTTCATTCATTCTTTCTTTCTTATCCTCGTTTTCCATTTTTTTTTTATTTATTCATTCTTTTTTTTCCGTTTTCCATTTTTTCATTCATACTTTCTTTCTTTCTTTGATTTAGCATTTTTTCTTCTGTTTTTTCCCTTTTTATTCATTCATTCGTTCTTTCTTTCTTTTGTTTACCTGTTCCTTCTCAGACATTCTTTCTTTCTTTCTTTCTTTTGTTTTCACATTTTTCATTCTCTATTTTTCTTTTGCTTACCTTTTTATTCTCATACTTTCTTTCTTAAATTTACCCATTCTTTGTTTTTGCATATTTTTTCTTTCATTCATTGATTATTTCTTTCTTACTTTTTAATGGTTCTTTTCCATACAAGCCACAAGTATGAGGAAAGCAATGCGAAACTAAATCACGGCACAGTAGAAATGGTCAACCAGGGAGCTTGTTAACCATTACCCCACCGCCGCCTAAAAAAGTACTGTTACTGTAAATATTTCAAGGCTAAAATTCATTTATGATTATTCGATCTTGTTTGAAATCTTACTTTCGCTCTCACACTCTCTCTCCGTTGATCTCTTTTCCCGACCTTCTTTCTTTCTTTCTTTCGTACGTTTTCATTGCTTTTCTTCCAAGGAACTTTCACTGACTTTTTTCTCTGTATCTGACTCTTTCTCTCTCTTTCTTTCTGTATCTCTCTCCATCTGTATATCTGCGTCTCTCTCTCTCTCTCTCTCTCTCCTTCTCTCTGTATCAGTGCTATTTTATCCTTTCTATCCATAAATTTGTTTGCTTGCCATGACTGTATTTAATTCTCTGTGTATCTCTCTCTCTCTCTCTCTCTCTTTCACTCCCTCTCTCTTCTTTCTCCGTTATTCTTCATTCTTTCTCTTATTCACCAATTCTTTCTTTCTTTCTTTCTTTCTTTCTTTCTTTCTTTCTTTCTTTCTTTCTTTCTTTTGTTATTTCATGCTTTTACATGAGCTGGGGCAGATACGAACGCACGTGCACACAGATGCATGCAAAAATAAGCACACTTTTCTGCAAACCAGGCCTTACACTCGACTCGCCACCCACCTACTTCGTTTTTAACCTACAACTCCTCCCCTTTCCTCTTTCTTCCATGCCAGCTCTCCTAAATGTATCCCACCTTACTCTTCTTTTTAATCCTTGCTCTCCTTTTTTTTAAACTTTTTTTTATTTCTCATCCTTTTCACCCTTCTGTTAATAGCAGAACAATCGCATCTGCCGTGGCCTGATCTCTTACTCCCCGCCTTCTTAACATCGATTGCTCCACCGCCAACCAATACCGTCCCAGACTTCTTTTTATCCCCTCCTTTCTCTGACCATCTCTTTGAAACTCACCACCCCCACACCAAAACCTTCATGTCCTACCCGAGTTTTACAGTGGGGGTGGTTGTGTTGTTTTCATTTTCCTTTCATCCACTATGTCTATTCTTTGAACGCGAGCGCGCTCACACACACACATTTTTCTCTCTCTTCCTCTCTTTCTTTACCGCTCTCTTCCCCCCCTCTCTCTCTCTCTAACTTTCTCTGGCAATCTCTCTTTAACTCTTACCCTCTCTTTCCTGTCAATCTCTCTTACGCTATCTTTCTCTGTCAGACTCTCACGTTCTCTCTCGTTTTCTGTCAATCTCTCTCTTTCCCTGTGAATCTCTCTCTCCCTCCCCCCTCTCTCTATCTCTGTGTCTCTCTCTTTCTGTTTCTTCTCTCTGGTTCGATCTTTATAAACCTCTCATTTTATATATCTCACTCTCTGACAATCTCTTTCACACATTCTATTTCTCTCTCTATGCTATCCACTCACTCTTCACACCTCTTTTTTTCTGTCAAATCTCTCTCTCTCTCTCTTTCTCTGTTAATCTCTCTCGCTTTATCATCTGTCACTCTCCTTTTCTGTCACTCGCTTTCACTATCTCTCGCTCTTTCTATCACTGTCAATCTCCCTTTATTTCTCTGTCAGTCAATCACCAAAATTTTCTCTCTCTTTTTCTTTTTTGTTTTCTCTATCATTTTTCTCTCTCAATCTCTCTCAATCTCTCTCTCTCTCTCTCTCTGTTGGTCAGTATCAAAATTTCTCTCTTCTGCTTTCTGTATCCCTTTTTCTTTCATTGTCAATCGCATTCAATATTTCTCACTTATCCTCTCTCTTTCACTCTCCCTCTCTTTCACTCTCCCATTTAACTGCCTACTCTGTCAATCTCATTCGTTCCCTCTATCTCTCCCAGTCAGTCTCTGTGTTTCTTTCTTTCATTCTCACACACACAAGCAGAGAAATATAAGGAGAGACGGAAATATAAGAAAGCACACACACACACACACACACACACATATATATATATATATATATATATAATACGGTGAGGAGCAGGTGAATAGCTATGCTTGCGAATGTGTACGCGTGTTGGGTAGTTTTCAATATCGATGATAAGCCTGGTCATTCTAGCAACGCTCCTGATTTGTCTTCCTGTCTGTCTGTCTGTCAGTCTGTTTATCTAGTGTTTTTCCCCCTCCTTCACGATTAACGTGTGTGTGTTTTAAAACCTATTTACATCAAGCAATCTGTCCTTTTTTTAAACTACACTCATATTTTTGAAGGCAAAGAAAGTGTAGTTTGCATCTAGGTTTAAATCTCTGGATCACATATTCCTCCGAAATCTCTGCATGTCTCGTCTCTCAATCAGTCCACCTGAGATCCAGGCTATCAATTTATTTGATCTATCTATCTATCTATCTATCTATCTATCTATCTATCT